TTCCACATGCAAAGAGATTATCCCTTGAGAGTTATTTCACTTGAGAATACAAGAAGCAGCAGCCAGACTTGCAGCCTTTCTCCCTTCTTTAAGAAGGATTCTGCCCTACTGCCAGAGCTTGCAGGAGGAACGTGCAGGCCTTCCTAGAAGCGGTGATACGCAAAGGTTTAAATTTAACACCTCAAACTGCACCAGCTCAGATAAGCTCAGAAAAGGCCTTGAAGAGGTCTGCCCTCCTGCTCTGGTCAATTATATGGGCTAAAAGCGGAGAGACCAAGCTTGATTACTATGCACACTACTGAAGTAAAACAGTTTATTTCTAAAAAAAGTTGGCAGACAGACATGCACAAATGAAGACAAAGTAATTCACTGTAGAGATGCACGTACCTCAGGAAATAAAAAAAACAACCAAACAAAAAAATCAAACACAAAAGAGACACAGCTGTAAGTCCAGAAATCAGAGAAAGGCAGTCCTCTGTACTACCTACTTCACCATGAGCCAGCTACAACAAGTGGCTGCTGCCCTGTTGTAGGGTGAGAATATTCACTCCCTACAGCTTTGGACTCTTATCACATGAATGGAGTTTGAAGACAAATATGTCTTTATTTAGAACCTTTCTGGAACACGTGTCTGTCACAGTGTGGAGAGAAAACAGCATTTGAAAGAAATCAAGCTGTAAGGTGCCCTGGCATAAAAACAATGACAGTGCTGGACTGAAAGCAGACAGTATTTGTAGATGGAAACACTGTTCTTGAGCAGCAGGCACAAACTTCCAGCATAAGAAATACAGTATCATCTATATAGCAGTAGCAGTAATAATAATTTAAATGTAGTGTTTCAAGCAAAGCTGTAAAGAAATAACGTATACTTGAATCTCTCTTCAAATGAAACAAGAAATAAACGTACCTCTCTTACTAAATATACATGGCAAGGCTCTAAGGAAGATGTATTGTGTTCTGTGTGAGAGGAAGAGAGTGAAATGTCTGTGGCCACCAGATTTGAAGTTCAAGATTTTGTCTGTATTTGATGAGTTCACTATCGTAGTCATAACTAAAAATTATATTAGGAAATCCGAGGTTGTCACACATGGGCTTGAAAACACTTTTAAACAGTAGTAGTTAAGCCAATGATGAGTTTCTGTTTTTTTGAAACGTCACGTTAATTATGTTTATTAAGGTGTGGTTACACCTAGCATAGCAATGCACAGTACAGTATATAGCTACTACATGAAACGTACACCTGCATTACAAATATGCACCACCAAGTAAGTGGCAAATGCAACTCAATAATCAGACAGAAATGGCTACATCACCAAGCATATATTTTCAGAGAAAGTAGATATTGATAGATATTTATTAAGAAAAACAGGAGTAGTTGTATGTGGTGGAAGAAAAGGAGTGTGACTGACTGCCACGTATTTGTGATTTTATTAATTGCCTGCATCATTGTTTCTGTAAACAACCTCCCCCAAGTCACAGCAGCTGTTTGAGCCATTGAATCCTGGCTCTCTGCTTGTGACTAGGCTATAAATCCAGTTATATAAATTGAGCAAGGCAAGGCAAAGTATGAAACAGGAATCTGAAGAAGAATGTGTGCCTGGCATGGCATCTTTTCTTTAGCTATGTCATTGATGAAATAAAGATATTACCACTTCCTATAAATTCTATTTCATTCATATTCTTATTCTAATATAATACACTAAGGCCCTGAAAGCAGAAAGGTATCAATGCTTATTTTTAACAAAACTTACAATAAATGTAAAATAAAAAGTCTGTATTTTCAAAAAGAAACATTTACTGTTTTGACAAGCAAGTATTAATAACTGTACTTGGTTTCATTATCAGCTAAATAATAATAATCCCTTCAATCTAAAAGTGAAATGCATTCAGTTTTTGCTTAACAATCTGAGAAAAAAGAAGAATCAATATGAGGAGAGAAGTCAAAAAGACATGAAGAGTCAAAAAATGCTTGCAAGGACAAAATGAATATATAAGCAGAATTAGTTACATCTAGTAGGAGAAAAAAAAAGATGTACATAGAAGTTATATCAAACCATAGTAACAACATCAACAGAGGTCCAGGGACACAGCTGTCAATAAATCAAGTAAGAATAATATAGAGTGAAATGAGATTTGCCCAGCTCTTATAAACGACTTACTTAATGAACAATACCATCAATCGGAATACACTTTTTGTAATATCCATCTTAGGAGGAAAAGAAATAAATAAAAAAATGTCAGCAAAACAAATCAATCTGAAGTCTTTTGCAGAGAGGCAATATCAGCGTAAGTATTTACTACTGGCTAGATGAGCTAGAGTTCAAGAGCCAAAACCCAGGTAACACTAGGATTAGGGACTTAGAATACAGGCTACCTGAGCACGCTAGAAGAATTACTAGTATTATGAATTCTACTTATCCACTGGACAGGTCAATCTTACACTTCATGACATGCGAAAGTTTCTCAAAGAGCACAAAAATTCCTGTTCTTCAGAACTGTTTTTGAGAAAAGATAGAATGAAATATTTTGGAATACACTTTAGGAAATGCTTGTACTGGCAAAGACGCCGAATGATCAAAACTCTTGGCTCCTGTAGCTTCTATGGTTCCTCAAGTCAGTAACAAAATAGGGCTTGACAACAAAATTAGGGTCAGTGTATGAGTCACACTGCAGCCGATTACATACATAAACAGCATATAATTTCTTCATAATTTTTCTGACAGGGCTATTTTTAAATTATTATAACAACTACCTTCTGAGTAACAATGCACTAAAAAAATACGTTTGTACATTTAAAAAAAGAGAAAGAAAGGGGACTTATTTTCCTTACTTCAACATATCTGAAACCATTACATGAACGAGAAAATGTTACCGATGTTCAGAAAAATTTCGAAAAACAAAATGCTAGAACACTCTTAAAATAGCAAAGGGGAAGTCCAGATATAACACCAGAAAGATAATGTTTCTTTAAAACATCTGGCTTGGCTCCTGAGGGTTGTACACACTGTATCAGTTGGGCCAAAAGCACTTCTTTGACTGTGCCCACTCCCCCATAGCTTTGATCCCCCCTTCTTTTCAAGTCCCTGCAAAAGCATGTAAGAACCAACTGCCTTTAAAGGCTACTCTGCAGCTATTTAAAACCATTACAAGCTCAGTAGGAAGGGTTAGGGGGATGGAAGGCAGGTGCTGGAACACAGGTACCCAAAACACTCGAAGATTTTTGATCATAGTAGGTAACTGTGCCTTCTCCTTTGAAAGACTGCAGCAACTTGCACAGAATCTTTCAAAATTGGAGGAAAGGAAGAGGATTTTAATAAGAAAAGGGAAATACATTCTTATTCTACTGAGCTGATGTCTGAGTGGTATCTCAGATAAACTGGTAAATGTATGCAAAGACACACGTAAATGTTTCACTAACCAGATGATCCCAGAGTTGTTTAGGCTGCTTTCATTCTAACTGAGGTGACCTCAAACTATTTTCCAAAGGAGTATTTTGGTTTGAAGCAGCAGTGCCTTTCTGAAAATAAACTTAAAGCCCGCTCCACTTAACCAGGCACAATGCTAGTTTGCAGAGGAGTCTCAGTCGAGTGCATCGACAAGTTTTTCTTTAGAAGGAAGTAACGAAGAAGCTCCCCTGGAGGTACGCACCAAACGTGCTCTAACCCTCACATCTTCATTACAGTCTGAATGGATGAATAATCCTTTGGACTGTTCTGACACAAAAATAGACCTGCTTTGAGCAAAGACTGGACTAGAAGACTTCCAGAGATACCTTTTAGAGAGAAAATACCAAAACTGCACACAGTGTCAATGCAAGCACCATGGCACTAACTGATTTGATCTGCTCCTGTTGTTTCAAATTATATGCTAATGTAAACATAGATTTCCACGTCCAATAATTCTTACTTACCAGCTACACATTCTAATTTAATACAACACAAATTACCCTGGGTACTAAAGAAGTTTCCTGTGGCATTATAGATCTCTCTGCAGATTTCTTCTGGTGAAGGTAGATTAACCTGTGTGATGCTCATTGCTGTCAAAGCTAGACTGCTGTAGAATTCAAGTTAGCTTCTTTCAAGTTAGCTTAGATATCTGCACACCATACTAATAAATGCAGTTAATATGCTGCCTGTGTTATACAGGTTGAAGACCTAAAAAATCACAATGATACGTACAACCTTAAAAAAACACTGTCAATTATGAAGTGGTAGAAATTAGCTTCCAATATATCTGCATATTCATTAGCCACTCAGTATACAACCTCTCATCTTTAGCTATGTGACGATTTTAAAATACACTCAGTACTGTAATCATGATTCTATTGCCACAGTTGGAAGATGTGTTTCTTTAGTCCATCTCAAAAATGATTGGGGAAAAAAGCAAAGAGAGAAAATGCAAAAGAACTGAGAAAATTGAAGAGTTATTCAAAAGACTAATACAGAAAAAGGTGAACTGAGATTATCTGTGCAAGTGAAAAAAAAAAAAAATCACAAACCCTTACACAACACAGTCGATTCAACTTTCCCAGAATCATAATGAAGTGAGGTTTCTATGTCTGGCAACTAAATATTTCCATGTAAATCTTACGTCTTAAGAAAATTAAATTTATAAGATGTTTTCTCTTTCCTCCCATTCATTCAAAATACTTTGTCAACCTTTTCCAGATTCACATAACCAGAAGCAGAAGTCTTGCTAATTAGCAATTTTTTAAAAGCTTCCTCAACAACAACAACAACAACAAAGAAGATCATTCCACAACAGTATCCCAGTCATATGTCGACATGTGAGAAAGTAGGCACACTGCAGGTATTTGTGTGAGGAATAGTGAAAAATGAAGTCTTTAGGATGAGAATATGCAAGCAAGCTGATAAATCTTGGAAACTATTGTTTCCTTAGTTCTACTGCTCACGGAATAATTTCTTTACTGAGATCATTGCTGCTGCAACAGAAATAAATGTTTACATCTTAATGAACCAGAAAAATCCAGTGAATCCTACCACATCTGTTCCATGCCTTCTTTCCAGCAGAAGTCGGAAGATATTAGCTGTAATCTTGTTATCTTGGACACCTTGACCAAGGCCACGGTTGTCATCCTGCATAAGTCGACGATCCATGATCACTTCCAACTGACCTGGAAGAGCAATACAGGGATTACACTGGTAACAGGAATATGTGTAAACACAAGAAAAATATCCTGAAACGTAACTTATAAAGAATTGTAATCTTTCCCTTGCGTATGAAACAGTTAATAGCAGATCAATATTGTTAGGACTGATTATGAAAATTGTTAATACCTTTGGGTTTTGGCTGTTTACAACCTTCCAAAAATTCTTCACAAGCCTTTTAACAGAAGTTCCTGCAAATTTCTAACATAAGACTCTAAATGAAGTTTAGCATGAAAAGTTATTATTGTTAACTATTATTTGTAACAAAGATAGTCGGCACATCAAGCATCAAACAGGAGAATCACCCCAGGTAGTGGTACCTGCATGGAGAGACCTTCTGTAGAGGAACTGTCTTCACCTTACACTCCATAAAAAAATAAGCCTCCCAAACATATTTTTTCCTTTTTTTTTGGTGTTTGTTTTATATTTGGAAGCAGAAGGAAAAACAGGTAGGTAATATGAATATATATATACAGAATTACTCCTTCTTGTAAGGGTATTTTCACTTGTGGGAGTTGGAAAAAGAACTTTGCACCAGATGAACATTGCATACGAAGTTCTGAGTTTATACTGAACTGTAGTGTTGCCATTCAGAATAGCTCTTTAAGCATAATGTTAAATCATAAACAGCCTGATGGAAGATGAAGGTAATATCTTTTCAAGTTGATATTTCCAGAGGGAAACCAGTTCAGGGCATGTAATTAAGGCTGTTACGGTTTTTGCACACTGGATCTTCAAATAAGTGTACATGCTTCCTAAATAGAACTGGAAAGACTGAAGGATTTGTTTCCTAAACAAGAAAAACACAATTTAAGCTACTAGAAAAGGCTGCTTAGTAAGGCAGTGTCTTTTATACTTCTTCATTGTTCCACAAATACTTACCCAATTTTTCTAAATACTTGTTCTTCCCTTCCCTCAAGTAAAAACTTTTTGTGTATCCAGGACAGAAGTCAGCTGGCAATGAGTAAGAAACAAACTATCATTTTGAATAAGGTATAAGGCTAGGATTGTGCGTCAAATTGATGGCCCCTGTGGCTTGCGGTACGAATATGGGCTGACAGACGTGTATGAAAAGTCTCTGAAAAAAGCTAGAACCAGAGTAAAACCACAGGATAAACCTATGATGAACAAAAATCTAGACCCAAAACAATCTAACCGCATTTCCAACATTCTTTAAGAAGCTAAGATAATGAAGGCTGACAAAATGAAGATTAAGGCCTTTGTGAACAGCAAATACAAACGAAATGATCCGTGCTGCTAAAGTCAGAGATAAAAACAATTTCAAAAGGGGGTCAAAGATTAAAAAAGATTGTTTCGGAAATCTATGGCTTAAAAATAGTATAAGTGTATTGCATGAGGTTTCAGGACACAGGTGATCCCTGCTACCCCATTAATTATCCATCAGAATGCAGGAAAGTCCACCTCTAAATCACTGTGGTGCATCCCATCTATCTGGAGGTCTTCCATGGGGCACAAAGGATAATACACCAAGTAGTAAATTAGAGCAGAACTGGATGGAACTTACAAAGTGGAGGATGTTCAGCATCTAACATTAAAAAATGATATGCATCCAATCCCACAAATGGGAAGAGAGATGGAAAGTAGAAATAAAGTTGTGGCACAGGTACTTTACAGCTTTTGATCAAGTCTCTTAGAAGCCGATGTTGAAGTCTGATGACAATACAGTGACAAATCCTATTCCATACAGCTGAGATCACCTGACAGCATGAGAGTTAATTAACTGCTCCATAGTAAGGAACTCGCCTCTAATCCAACAAGGAGAAGTGAGAAATAATCAGCTGTTCATATAAATCTCAGATGGTCAGTTACGCCTTGAGACACACAGTCTCAGACACACAGCTACTGAAGGTGCTTGGCTAAACTGTCCTGAAGGGCCGTCGAAAGAAGTGTCATGAAGCATATGACTTTCAGCAGCCACATAATTTTCAGCTTCATTTTTGTTCTCTTTTAAGGAGTTCAACATGCCCTCAGGACAAAATTAGTAAACAGCTGTTACATGGAATATTACCTAATGATAACAAGTCAGGTGAATACATTCTCCTCCTTTTTTTTTTTTTTCTTAGTGGGCACAGAGTATCTCTCTTAACCTTAAGTAACATAGTAAGAGTTTGCCAAAGAGTGACATAGTTAAGAAATTAATGCCATGACCAGCTACTGGATACATCTTTCGCTCTTTTATTCAACTGGAGTATGGGAAACGCCTCTAACGTCCTCTGACTCGGTTGAAACCAATGCTTACAGAAAGCCAGTTTCTCCCTGATACTTAACTGCAATATGTCAAACAGCTCTAGTCTTAACTTCTCTAACTTGAAGACAGAAAGTGGGAGGCTCTGTGGAGTCAGATGTTGCATTATTCTGTGATGCAGAGACTAGGATTGTTAAAGAACAAATACAGACACTATTACAAGGTAACAGTGCCTCTGCACACTAACTTAGTCTCCAATATCTACATAATGAGTGCCTACAAACGTCTGGTGGTGTCAAGTTCATTCACAATATCAGGCCACAGGGAATTTGGTTTCTAGCAATGGAAGGCATGAAAAAAGTGGTCTGGGTTTTACATCAGGTGCTCTTGGAACAAAAAGCTGATGTTTTCCAGTATGGCTTTATTAAAGCATTAATCTATAGGCCAATGATCAGTCTTTGCCCTAAAATGAATTAGGTGTGCTAATACTGACATCAATCTAGTACAGTAGTCACCTTTTGTCAGAGCAGACATTAATAGGACGTTTTTCTGAAAAGAAACTGGGAAGCAGGTTTCAGTATAGTTTCTGACGGACTTTTTTTCTTCTAAGTATTCATTCTGCTGTTTTTCAAAACAGTGTAAATTTAAACTCACAATATATCACAGCAAGGAATTATATATCTTAAATTATGAATCATATATATCTTATTTTGCTCACTACTTTCTAGCTTTATTTGAATGTTTCCTCATTCTGGTAGCAGTATAGACTTAACAGCTGACCTCCATTTCCATCCCTCCAGGCCATTCATCACAGCGATGAGGGACAAGACTGTGTCTCTTTTGGAATTCTTAATATGAATTGATTTTTCTTGTCAACATATTATCAGCTTTTTCAAAGTACTCCATTCAATTTGGGAGGTATGATTTTGCTTCAGAAGAAGTATGTTGATTCTTACCCAGGATCATTTTATTTCACTAATTCTAGTCTTCAAAAAAGTTGCTGTTGTTTTCCTTGACAGCTATGTAAGGCTATACTGCATATACCTTAAGACTAGTGCTTTCAAACCTAAAGCAAACAAACAAATCAAAAAACATTATCAACATCACATTATCTATCTTAAGTCCTCTTAAGTCCTCTGCTACCAGAGCAGTACAAAAGAGAACACACTACTTAGTTTTGCTGTTTCATCCTAGAGTTCCGTCAGAGTTCTTGGGTGAAAAATACCTGGTTCTGTCAATTTATTGCTCATTTTGTATTTTTCATAATCTGTTTCCTCTGTCACTAGTTTAGGATGAATCTTCCACTGAAGATGACAGGATCTCAGGTGGGAACAACCTCTACCTCCTCCTTTATGGATATATTCTAAAACTTGTCAGAGTTGGAGAAATGTATTTCCTTTCTTCAAATGTCAGTAGTTATGGTAATCTGTGAATGAACTATTTCTGACAATCATGACGGATAGGCCTTTATAATACCTATCATCTTATATTTACCATTTTTCAAGCTTGCAACACCTAGAGACTGAGCTGAGTGAAGTGTCAAACGAAAGCCAGCATCTTGGATATAAGCCATTGTAGTCATAGGATAGATATTTGCTTGGAGCGGCAATTTGCTCATCGTCAGTCTTGGCTGGATCTGCAGTATGAACATGAATTTCAATAAAATACATTCTTTTTATGCATTGAAAATTCAAAGACCTTTTCAGACATTTATCCCACATGCTTTACAAGCACAACCGGTACCAAAGCATTCACTTGACTGTATTCTTTAGCTTTTTGGAGATTTGTGGCTAAAATTACCACTTTGGAAATGATAACTTCAATGTACTTTTACATCAAAGAATATTAAAAAAAAAAAAAGAAAGATAGATTCGTCAAGGGAACCTACAAAAAAAAAGGAATAATCACAGTTATAGAATGAGAGATATTTTTTTCTTCTCTAGAGAGCAAGCAGTGAATAGATTCAAAGTAGCAGAAAAGGAATTGTTGATTTATAATGGGAACTTATTAAAGTGCTAGTGGAATTATTGAATGGTACATGACAAATGAGTAGTAGTATTAAAATTACTTTCATGTTTAAATATTCACTTTATTCTCTCCAGCAAAATGCAGTACTACACACTAACTGGAGAAACAGTAGTTTCTTACTCACCAGGTATGGTTTTGAACGTATTTGCAAAACTATTTTTAGCAAGGAAGGAAGGTAAGGAAAAGAAAATTTTCTCTTTTGTGTGTGCTGCAGAGTCCAAGTTAAGAAAATAGTCACATTATATGCCACCAGGTGCATTACCAATAGAACAAGTTATTACACTCCAAAAACACATCTCTTATGTCCATCCCAGCAGCAAGCAGTTGTTCTCTAGGTCTGAGTTGCTGGACTTCATGTACATCTAGTGTTGTGCTACCCAAAGAGGTCTAATTAGATAGACAAAGCAGAGGGGAAAGCAGCTATACAGATACACGAGCAACTACATGGTGGCTTGTTGTAATTTGCTGTATTACCATTCTTAATGTTTAAAAGGATATTAAGAAATATTTAACAAACTTGTTGAAAGAAAACAGTTGCTACTTCATCCGGTCTAAATCAAATTTTGTAATGGATACATTTTTAAAGCTTCTCTCCTTCTAAATTATTAGTGGAGTTCAACATAAGTGATTAATATCACCCAAGCCTTTTACAATCAGAAGTATTAAGACAGTCAAAAACTGAGAGTCAAGGCTTTTATAACTAAGACAATAATTACCTGATATCCATTAAGATCAGTATAGAATCTATGTTGACTGTTTATGTCAGATGAAATTCTCATTGCAAGCTCACGATTATATTCTCCTCTAATATCCACAATATTGGAAACTTCCAGAGACTGGCCTTCCAAACCTACATGAAAAAGATGCATTTAAAATATCTCAATTTTTAAAAGCAGTTGCCACATACATAAGAACGACCATGCTCCCAGAAAACAGTGCTCTAGTTTTTCTTTTCTATCTAACCAGATTTTTGAAGCCAGTTAAGTACTATGCGATATAGAAGTACTTCTAATTAAAGTACTTATTGAACCGACAGTCTGAAACCTTCACTGAAGCAGAACAGAAGCAATTTATAATGAGAACCAACGCAGGTTCTGGTAAATCAATAGGAAACAGCACACAACTGTTAAGTGCTGTCTTCAGTGCAGCTAATACGCTGGAGTAAGACCTAGCCATTCACTTGTCCCCTTGACTCTCACGCAGTTGTCACCATTCACAGACAAGAATGAAGTCACCAGCTTCGTGACCACAACTGTTTCACTAAGCAGGAAACCAGTCAGCTGTTTTAATCAAAACCGGGAGAATCTTCCTTAAGGGCAGTGAATTAAGAAACTGCACACTGATATGACCACAAGCAGGACACAAATCTTTGTTGACAAGGAAAAGATGTGTATTTATTAGAAGAAGAATTAAGTATCTGAAAATCTAGACAGATGTTCAGTGAGATTGTTCCCTACAGTGCCTCACACTGAAAATTCAGTATCTTTAATAATAACCTGACCTTTTCAAAGATTTCGAGACACAGTTTGGACTGGAATCATACCATCATTCAGCATCATGACTTCTACCCTTTCTCTAGTCTAATGGGACTAACAATTGTGAAAAGAATTCTGCCAAGCGGAACAGATATGAAGTATCTCTTTGTAGTGAGATGAAATTACATTGTGCCTGTCTGATGGATTGTAAACAGAAGCCCCTAGAAATAGAGGGACTAATTAACCAACTTAGTCCTCTAATACTTGAAGACAGTATTTAAGAGTCTTGGATACTAAATACTTTTTTTCTAACAGTTCACTGTATGTCAGCTTAAAAGACCCAGAAACACGCACATCAGTTTGGATTCCTGAACTGCAGTACCTTTTGGAGAAGGGCAAAATATCTTTGAGTAAAATCTCTAAATTCTCAAACACATACACAGGAAGTCAGCACAACCTCTTTTTCCTTCTACGCATATAGTTTTCCAATTCTTTTAGCAGTTCTGTTTGACAGCATATGTCACATTCTAAAACAAACACTGAACCTTTACACAACAGAATGCTGAAGGTGTCCGCCTGCTTCAATTTTTATGCTATTATTTAGTGTGTAAAATGCAGTCAGGGTTGTGATTTTGTCACCTGAATGAGGAGGATGTCTAGCTCTGTATTTGTTTCCTCATATTTTCTAAAATCTGAAAGCCACCTACAGCAGTAGCAGCAACTGTTAAAATGTTAGCATTTACCAACAGCTATTATACTACAGTGCTAAATGAAAAACATTTGGTTCGGGTAATTACTTCTATTTCCCCAGACCTAGTCTGGAAAAAGTGGATCTATATGCTCCACTTTTAACACTTAGTCATAGATTTGCCATCTATTTTAAAGTAGGGCTATTAAAGTGTAAGTACATTGAAAAAGGAGAAAATAATTAGTTTACGATTTTTAAATGACCATACCATGAATTAGTCTTGGCTTTTTTCTACTGCATAATTTTGAGTTAATACAAAAATATAGTTATGGAGATAATGAAACATAACAAGCTTCTGAGAAAAAGATTAACAAAATCATGCTGATATCAAAACCAGATGCCAAAGGAAGCAGAAAAAGTTAAAACACACTCATTGGTCAATTACTGAACAGAATTGTCAAGCCAAAATATTTTCTGCTCAAAATCAACAGAATTCTAAAACCAAAAGTGGGAAAAACAGTATTTTAATCAAAATTGCTGAAGAAGCTGGAGGACTCGGAAGTACTGTCCAACAGTTGGATTAGTCACACGATCAAGCTTTCCACTTCTTGGCAAGCACGTAGGTTACAACAGGAATATCCTCCTTATTGAAGTTCCTTCCTTGATAAGACTAACGTACTGAAACCAACACGGCAAAGCAACTTCCTTTTCACATTTTCGGCAACATGTTAACCTCAAGTTACTTTTTTTTTTTTTCATCTAAGCCCATTTTCATATTGGCCACATAAAACAAAAAAATATAGTCTTAAATACAAACATGTTCCCTCTGGATCTTCAACAACAAATTACTATACATCATTTTGGTTTGTATTCATAAGGAATGTGATCTAGAGTTTGATCTAGAATTACTGTATCAGACGAGTAGACAACTGAACTCAGATCAGTATGTGGCATATGGGTAAACTCTAGCAACTTCAAACTTCAAAGTATACACTTATATCATAAAAAATGAGGCATCTGAATCACATTTAGTTCTAAAGAGAAACATGTTACAACAGAAAAAAAATAATCAGAGAGATCAGTTCTGTGCGACTCTAAAGTAGGTATTGTTGGCAATACTATTTTTGAAACCTAAGAGAAATAAGGGAAAAAGAAAGGGAGACTTTCAGAGTACCTATAGCTTCATTATTTGTTTTTGAAGATGTTCACAAAAATGACTAAATATGATAAGTAATAATTTAAAAAACATGCAAACAATTTTGACACCTACAGTAAAGGTAATACTGATAAAACATGTTTAAGTTCCTTCAATTGTTGAAAATATTAGCCAATGCTTCTGTATTTCAGAAAAATTCTGGTAAATACAAATAGATGAAGAGCTGAAAAGGTATGTTTCCTACTTCAACTACAAAAAGATAAATATACTTGAGCATTTTAAGCCAAGTTCTACAGGAAAATAAGTCCATACAATCGCACCATGACTTCCTCCTTCTTGTACATTTTTCACTGGTCAATTTAATAATCAGATTTGGAAGGGTACAGTTTCCAAAGTTACTGTTTTCCCAGAATTTTACTGGAAATCAGCAGTTGAATAGAGAAGGAAAAAATTAAAGCCTTAGTGAATGAAAAGCAAGCAAAACTGACACAAAGTTATGTCCTGAGAGTCAATAAGCCAGTGTTCAGTGCTGGTGCCTCTCAAAAGACACAGTCAATTTTGTCACAAGCTCTTCCAAGCAGATAAAGGACATAAAGAAGCAGCTCACAGCTAGCTAAAGCATGCCTACAGTTAAAATGCCACTAAAAAACTACTTCATATTTTTTACGACTTTAGAGAAGATACTGTTCTACCTCCATCAATAAGTTTGAAGCTACGAAAGAAGTTATGTTTTTACATCATTTCCAAGATATTTCTAAAAATCTTTTTCCCATTTTCGTGACTTACAGCTGCCTACAGAATTCAGATGACCCAGTAAAGTTCAGGACACTCTTGTAGGTAATTTATACTCTAAAATTTCCTAACATTGAGAGGTATCTCCAACAAATCTGTTCAGTTTAAGCACGCTGGCTTAATGACTAGCATGATGCTCAGAAAGGGATCATGGTGCACTGGACCCAGCAAAGACTTCAGTCTGACAAATTCTGCACAGAGGGGTATTTAAACATTAAAAGACAGGATCCAAGACTGTAGTGAGGAAAAATAACTGCTGAGAGAGACAGAATTTCACAATTCTTACCCTGGACTTTATAAAGTCGCATAGTATGTGTCACGTGGTTGAAAAAACATACAACTTCTGAGAAAATTCTTCCATGAGCAACTCTTATGGTAGGTGGATCTGTAAAAATATAAGGCTACAAAAAGAAAATGGAAAAGTTAGAATAATTATTTTGAAAGTTTTGCATAAAAGCAGTGTCGATAAATCAAAGTATTTAATTAATATTAAAGTCTTTTACTTTTTTAAACTGTTCTATAACTAAGTCTAGTCTAAAAACTGGGAATTAAAAAATTACTCCACATCTGAAATTCAGCAACTACTCTTCAGAGCCTCCTTTCTCTTTTAGCTAAAATGAGGATAGCCCTCATTACATATCTCTCAGGTATTTTATGAGGACTAACAGATACAAGGCCTACAGACAAACACAGTGATGTATTAATATTGACAATATCTGGATTGAGCTTTTTTGCTAGCAAAATTATACTTGCTAAACAGTAATCAAATACTGTAGTTTCCCAATGTGTGGCAGATGGTTTAACTGTTTGGTTTGCTCACAGTTTACTGTATCAGTGGTACAGACTGCATGAGGAAAGCTGCCTCTACACTGTCTCGTGGATCAGTTTGCATATCCTTTTGAAAGTGAAAGAGGAATCTTTTTCTTCATCAAAACAGTTACAATTGCCAGGGGAGTCCCCTGGAATTCAGGGTAGAGCTGGGAACCATTAAGAAACCTCAGGAGGGACACTGGCTTCTTACTAATGTCTGTCAAAGACTAGCAAAAATTTTGCATATCCATAGTCAAATCAAAGAGATGAAGAAAATTATTTTTCCATGCAGTCACAGTATTTTGAGTCTCAGCTGAGCAAACAATGACTTTTTTTAAAACAGTTGATCCCAAATTGAACTGTATAAACTATACAGAAATACATGGATGGCTACAAAGGTCAAAACGGGTTAAATATTAAGCATGTACAAAGCCCAAAATGAAAATACAACACATGCAACTACTACTAGCAACAGCAATAAATAAAGACTTCACTCAAAAGACCCAAAAAGATACTTGAAAAACATGTTATTCAGAGAGGTCTAAGCAGAAAGGTCTTGGGGGGCGGCTGTCATCCTGCTTTATGTACCAATGTCACAAGAAGGACAAAGCATGCTCTTTCTTCTCAAGCAAGGAAACGAAAGATCAAACGCGTCTTGAGGAAGAGGGGAAATCAAGATCACATACAAACAGACAAAACATGTCAGTGAAGAACAGTACAGGTACATATCGTCCAATCTTCTTCTTTGAGTATATAACTATACGCATATTCACAGAGAAGATTTCAATAAGTATTGTATAAAAGAAGAAAGATATTTTCAAAGACTAAAAGCCTGTCTTTCTATTCATATATTTATTCTTAAAGCTTCAGAAAGAACACTGTTTAATAAGAGCTTTGCCAAAGCTCAAAGAGGCAACTCTGCAGCTATCAATTACAGGGATACTTTGTACATGAGTTTGGTAGAGGAATCATAGTTGCTTACACTTCAGTAAGAAGGGCTGTTTCAAGGAGAGAGGGATTTTTCTACTGATCATCTTATAGCAATGTTTTATCCAGTTAATCAGCACAAAAACCTGAATGAGGAAAGAGTCTTTTGAACTTGTTAACAGTTAACATGAAAAAATGATGAGATACTTCCAAGGGGTCTCATCTTGTCAGTAAGATAGACAAGTGTTATCTATTATGCAAAATTCATTTGCTAGCTGAGAAATACAAGAGGAATATGGTATTAGGAGGGCACATAAACCAGGTGAATTAATGTGCTGGGATAACAGAAATTTGAAGATCAGATCTTAGGTTAGAATTTGAGCTTGCTTTTGGATTTTCTTATTTCCATGAAAAACTGCCAAGATCAGTAAATGTACACTGAAACCTCCCCTTTTTCTGGCAGAAGAGATCGTGATCTGTTTATGTATCAGATATAGGTAGAGAAGACAAACTCATTTAACTTGCACCTACACGTTCCTAGAAGTGTATGTTTAGATTAAAATCCCATGGACAAACTGGATCACTGATAGGAAGGTGGAATATTCAAACCCTTCAAAAATCTAGCTGCAGGGCAGAGCAACATGAAGATCTTCAGGCTAGCACTGAAGGACTGGAACAGCAGCTAAAGGAACTCTCAGAAAATGAACCGAGAAACCTGAGGTCTTCAGGTCAAGCAAATACCTTCGCCAATTATCACCTAGGAGAATACTGCTTATACGAACAGCAGCCTGCCACTTGCATTCTGTTAGCAAAGTAACGCCTATTTTATGGGCTTATTGCTGTTGTTCGTAAGAACATTTCTCACTAGGGCTCTCACTGGAGCTATCCAGGACCAAACCAGCAAAACAGAGAGATGACAGATGAGTGACAAAGGACTGTAAAAGGTTGCGCACTTACTAAAAAAAGACCATATTACCTGAGGTAATGTTTTTAAAATAAAACAAAATAAATAAATAAATAAGTACTTGGGAGGAACTCTGTTCCATCGAACTTGTAGTTGTCATGGTTTCATGTGGGGGGGAGGTTCTGGTGGCACG